GACAAGTAGTTAGAATTGACTATTTCATCCGTATGAATGACTGCTCGGAATCAAAGAGTTCTCTGGACTCTATACTTGACTACAACAACATTTTGATCCGACTATCAATATTATTTTGACACTGTTACTCTTTCCGAATGGCTTTGGACTAGTGACACAATAACACAGACAACACTCCGACCGGAACAACAATGGACATTTTCTCTCTTTCGTTACTACTCTGAACTTAGAGATTTTCAAAAACATATTCTCATCTTCAAAAATCAACTTAAACAACAAAAATAGAATTTTTGTTGGTTAAGTACTAGTGATCTAACTAGCATCACAAAAAATCAGCAGCTAAGGTGTCAATTAGATCATGAAATCGGAATCATATATCACTAAAAATTTGAATGCTATAAATCCGACTGCTAATACTAATACTACTGCTACCATTAACAAATTCTTGATTCGTAGCTTTGCACAAAAAATACCATCATTAATCGCTATCAGTTATACAAAAATATCTACTTATTTCTACTTCTAACCGAATGATTGCGGAAACTCCGGCTAAATCTAGACGTGGCCAAAAACCTTCTGGCTACAGCATATTCATCTAATGTCAACATTTATCTACTGCACCTACAATCATTCAATTTGAGACGTAATGAAAGTCGTCGGATGACTTATTTAACTAAATATACTATTTTTTGGGTTACAATCTAGTTTTATTATCGCACTACATCTGATTTTTATTTTTTGGCCAAAATTTACCTTATTAAAAATTACCAATAATTTTCTTATGTATAATCCACTTTCCATAATAGATTTGCAATCAAAATCCTAGGATTAATACTAATTAGAGTAATTCGGTCACGTACTAACTTGAGTTAAGTTAACTTAAGTTTAACTCGAGAGTTGAATTAACCCTAACAATCTCATACTTGATCCATGTTGAGTAAACAGTAACCGAAAATAGAAACTTGTAGCAAGTTCTTGATTGAATTTAATTTTATATTCATTGAATAATGAAACTCATCATATAAAAAATTTAAAATATTATCTTTCAAACATTAAAAAAAAACATTGAAGATATATAGTGAATTAAGGATTTTTTTTATAGAATTTTATTTTTTGTAATTAAAATTGAATATTTTTGTTAATAAATTTTCATTACATCTGAAATAAATGAGTTTATGAATAAATGTGAAGATTTTGTGACTTCTCATAAAAGATTGTATGATATAATTTTTTCAAAAAAATATAACATAAAATTATACAATTATGTACAAAACTAACACACTTAATTCTCTGAATGCGGAAATTACTAAAGTATTGTTGTTAAATTACATAATTACTTAATATTCATCAAGGACATGTTGTTGCTAAATATCAAAGTTAGTATTAACCAAGGATACATATAACTGATATGACAAATATAAGTAAATCCATTAACAGTTAAAAATCAATACTAGTTTCATCTTTGAAAATATTTATTTTAATTTTAATTTTAATCAAATATAAATGATTACATTATGAGATTTGATTTTTATAGTTTCTACAAAGTATGATATATTTGTTCATTCATATGATCTTGAAAATCATTAAGTATAATCACTATGATTATGATGAATCTATATAGAATAAAGATGATGACAATAATGCATTGATCTTAAAGGAAGAAAAACTTGTTCTTATAGAAAAGCTCAAATCTTTGTCAATGAGCTTGATTGAAATAGTTTTATAAAGCGCGATACACAATTGTTGATGAATATCAAGACTTGAGACTAGTGAAGCTTTCAAAAAGTAAACCTTTAGTTGATAGCAAATGGATGTATAAGATAAAGAACAATATAGCAAATGAAAAAATAATATTTGCAGACAGGTCTAGTTAAGGAATTTCACAGAAGAAAAACATATGAATTGTAATGATTTATTTCATCTCTAGCAAAATACATCATAATTTGACTTGTAAGTGTATTTATTGCAATCTTTAGTCTAGTTATGAATGAATTGAATGTAACTTCAATAAATTTGTATGAATCTTTGGAGGAAAAGATTCACATCATACAAAATTTGAGTATCAACAAAAGTTGATTGATAGATAGCCAAATTATTATATGAATTGAAATAAGCTCATTGACAATGAAATGCAGGATTTGATGAGTTAATGAGAGTATAAAGATTTTCACAAAATGCACATAATCCATACATATAAATAAAAGAGTGAATAGTGAGTCCTTTAATCTCATTTTTCTAGTATTCAAGATGGAGCATATATTCATTTTGCCAAAGAATCAACTTTATGTTAACATATGCAAAATCAACTTGAATGTGCATTCAACGTGAAGTATTTGAATGAATGTTCATAGCTCTTTGAAGAAAATAATTCTATAGTTAAATCAAGACAAGGTAAATTCAATGTGTTCTTAACATGCCAAACTTAAAAAATATAATGGGATTTGATTTGACAATAAACTTCAAACTTTATGCATATAAATGTCCAATGTATATCAAACATTGGCATTTATTAAATGAAAAATGGAACATAAATGGAAAATGTTATAAGTTCTCATGATATTTTTCTCCTATGTTGCTTTCGTATTAATGAAGTGAACAAAAATATGTGAGATATAGGAAAGATGCATTAAAAAAATGTGAACAAGCTCACATGATTCATGATTTTTTTTCAAATTTTCATTGATGTTTTCAAGCATTCTATTTAATCTCACAGCGAATTTCATACAGTGTTGCAGACTACAATTAAGAAAAATATCAGATTGAGAATTCATCTTAAAGTAAGATCAAAATCCTCACTTTTGATCTGTTATCATTATTTGAATCTTGTGTGAAGTTATTTCTCACGCAAGATTTAGATAACGCTAGAAGTGAAAAAAACTGAAAGTATTATTGAGAACTAAAAAAGTAATTACAATTGATGTTACAAGAGTGAAAATAATGTCTTGACAATTTTTATATGTACTTCAAGAATGCCTAAAGCCTATTATGATTTCAAAATTTAAAAAAATCATAACTATTGCCACTAAAACTTCAAAGTTGGTGATGTTACATATGTGATGTCACATCTGTAACATCACATTTCTTCAACCAACTAGTTTCACAAACTATTTTATTTGTCTTATCAAAAACACAAACTAAATATGTTAGATTCAAATATGTTGGATTTAAATATCTGTGTCACTTTGTTTCATTGGTTATTGAGTGTGAAAGTTTTTGATTATTTTATGAATGTTATCAAAAATAGCAATAGGTTGCCAAATTTGCTTGCAAATTTCATAGCACTGCCAATGTGTAAGATATCAAATTTTTTTTGATTGATGCAAAAATGAATGATCATAAAAACTTCAAAAAAAATTTCTTGTTTATTTTGATTGTTGGCGGAGGTGCTACCAACCGTCTTGAAATAATGAAGTCTCCATATAATTCAAACAAGTATATATGAAACATTGGATGATTATCCATAAATATTAATAGGTCCAACATGTATGCTACCTTGTTGATTTATTAAAAGATCTAAGAAGACTTATAGCTAACTCTGTCATTTGGTAGTAAAGTTTTCAAATTGCGACGCAAAAGACAATTTTGAGAGTTGCTGCTCTTGAGCTTCTACAAGCCTTGTCTTCATATCTTTGCGCATCTTCAAGAGTAAGGTGATAAAATCTTGAGCAATTAAATTCTTTTTCATACTCAAATTCAAAGAGTCAAATTGGGGATGATATTCATAGTTCTTTACAAACTATGAAAACTGTTGTTAAGAACTGAAGAAGAACTGAAGTTTGTAAAGAACTAAAGTTGATGCAGCATAAATTAATCGCACCGTTGTTAAAATGGCTGGTCACTATTATTTTTTGATTTAATTTTTTTGTGTCTTGGTTCGGAATTGCTTGAGTTTAGCAAATATTGTGTGGCTTGGTCTAAAATTTTATGAGGCAATTGTTTAAGTTGAGAACTTGACTTTACAATATAAACACATGTGATTCCAACAACATTGATGTTTTTTTCTTTTGTTATCAATCTAACTTTTGAAGTAAAAATTTGCATAAATTTTAAGTTCAAAGTGTTTGAAGATTTTTGGAAAATTGGAGTTGTGTAATTCATTAAATATGATTTGAAGAAGATTCATTACTCATTTCTTACTCAAATAGTCATGATAATGAGAGTTGTATTGTTTTAATCAAGGTCACATAGAAGTTGTTAAAATTGTGCAACGTATGCAATTATTGTTGTTGTGTTCAACATTTTGTTGCTACTTAAAAAAATTTAATATTTTTCTCCAAACATCTTGTTGAATTTTTTAAAAAATTGATCAAGATATGGGAGAAGTGAAGAATTTGTTTCAATAATAACAAAAATCAAGATAACATAATTTTGATGATTCAATGCATCTAATGTGGACTAATTGAATTAGTGAGTTAAATTTGTATATTTTTTTTAATTATGTGGTTGAATACAAAAATCAAGACAAATATGATTGACAAAATCAAAAAAAATTGTAAAATCTTTGTCAAACTTCTTCAACAAGCTTATTTGATATTTTTTTTTGCCGCTTGTGGAATTGGATTTGTTGCAAAAAATAAAACATGAATTGCAATGCGAGCAATTTGGAACTATTTCATGACATTTTGTATACTGAAATTTTTTGGTTGTAGCAGTTGCAGCAAGACAAACACGTCGTACATCTGGATGTTGACAACGTATTAGTTTTTAAGTTCAATACGGTTTAATCTTCACAGTATATGAAGTAGGAAATCTTTGCATCGTCTTTACGTCATGTACTTTTGGATGATCAGAAAAGACAACAAAAAATTCAAATAGAATTATTTACTTCTATGTCAAATGATGATATCTCTCAAATTTTCCTGTTATCTATAGTGAAAACATACTTCTGAAACAATCGGACTTGAAGAAATAATGAGTAGGTTCAAATCCATGCAAAGATTTTCAAAAAAATCTATATTAACACATCTACAAAAACTATTAGATTCAAACTTTTGGAGACAATGCTGGTAGTGTATTCTCGTCAATCAGTTGTGGACAACAATTCTATGATAAAACAAAATATTAAATTGAGATTATACATAATAAAAAGACCAAAATAGATAAGAATCCTCACACAAAACTTGTATAACAATCAAATGAGAAAATTGGAAGTAATATGGATAATTGATGTTCACGAGAGTGAGATACAATGTACCAAAACTCTCTATATATATTCCAATGAAACCCAAGAATTACTAGTATGCTACTAATACCTGAATTTGGAAAGAGTCACCAACATCAGTACTAATCCGAAGTTGAAAGATACATGTACATCGCTACTACTCCTCCAAAGTTTGTTGCGTATGTCATGTCTGTTACATACAATCAATGCTCATCAGACTCTTTCAATAAACTTCTAAGAATCAAAGCATAATGAATGTAGTGCTATACACACACAATGCATAGTCAATTCTAGAAACCATTATATTTGACAAAGAGTCTCATACTGTGCTAAAGTGTTTGACTCAACTACAATCATGTATCTTTCCATTAAAAGTACTACGGAAACCTTTACAGGGACGGAATGTCACTCATCTTGGAGAGGATGGAAGCCTGCGAAAATTGATTTTTATTTCCGCTGCAATAAAATGAAGCATTGGAGTAGGAGAACAAAACCGCCAAGGGTACACACGCAGTGATACAAGCACTGCAGTAACCTTTTCAAGCCCTCGCCCTCACGAGAGAAAAGAAACTCAGCCGGGCCCGTACGAGGGGAAAATGCTGCCCCGCCCTGCCTGTCCAGGATAAGACTACGGGAGTCAATAAGTGGGTTGAAACTATTAAAAATGGAGGTGGGGAGAGGGAGAGATTAGAGGGAAGCAAAAGGAGAGCTCATCGTCCTAATCGAGAGGACTGCGTGCGATGGGCGGCAGTTGGGCGCCGTTGGTTTGACCGTCGGGGCAGCCGTCAGTGCGCACCGTCAGCCCGCCCCCCGCACCGTCGGCCTGCCTCGCTCCATGTCGATGGGAGGCACCGGGGCTTCCATATTTGCCACCGCGCTCTCTTTCTTCCTCTCTATCGCTCGTTCTCGCTCGCTCGCTCTCTCTTTCTCGTCGTCGTCCGTCGTCGCTCCTCTGCTGTTATCGTCGTTGCTCGTCGGGCCGATCATCCACCCTCGTCGTCAGGCGCCCGCCCGCTCGCCCGCCCGCCAGCTCCCGCTGCTGCGACGGGCAACAACAACAACGACGTCGACGACGACGACTATCGTTGCTTGCGCCCGCGGTGCCTTCCCGCGCTACTTCTCGCACCAGTGAGCAAGTGAACGTCAGGCCGCCGCTCGCCGCTCTTGCGCCATCGCCCGCTGGCTCGAGGCGAGGGGTCGATCGGGAGATCGATCCGTCCCGCAGCGAACTCGAACCACCAACAGCAGCGAAAGCAACGAAGACTCGGGTCGGGGGTTGTCCCTCGCCTGCTCGCGCGGGAGGTTGGTCGTTCGTTGGGTCGAAGGTTGGTCGGGGCTTTGACAATTGGTGCGATTTGGAGCCGAGTTGGGGACGAGGAGGAGGAGGAGGAGGCTGGGGATGAGGAGGCGGAGGGAGCGGGATTGACGAGTTTGAAGGCTAGCTTTGGGAAAAAGGCGGAGGGAGGGGAGGGTAGGGGAGGGGACGAGGAGCTGAGGAATTGGATTGATAGTCGAGGGAGCTAGGACGAGCGGAGGTGTAGATAGAGGTGGCGAGAAAGAAGCGAATGGCGAGTGGAGGAGGGGCCGAACAGCACCTTCCGCACCATTTGCAGCAGCACGCGGGGTCCGTGGACGTACAGAGCGTGGTTGGAGTGTCAGGCATGGGTGATAGCCCTGGGGAAGGGGAAGGACAGGCTGGGGACCTTGTAGTTGGGGGCCATCAGCCGCCGGCATCGGAAGGGAAGGGGATTAAGAAAGCCAAGAGGGAGGTAGTGGGCGGGGAGGAGAAAAAGAAAGAAAATCCCACGGATTGGAGCGAGTGCGCCGTGAATTATCTGTTGGAGGTGTACGAGGAAAAGTACGTGAGCTTGAGCAGGGGCAATTTGAGGAGTAACGACTGGGAAGATGTCGCTAGATACGTCAATTTTAAGTGCGAGGGTTCGAGATCGGCGAAAACCGCCGAACAATGCAAGTGGAAAATGGAAAATCTCAAGCGACGGTATAAAGTGGAGAAACAAAGACAGGCCGCCACTGGCGCCGTCAGCTCTCTGTGGCCGTTTTTTCCTCGTATGGACGAGATGCTGATTTCTTCATTTAAGTTCGTGGCGACGTCGCCTGAAAACGGTTCTGGCGACGCAGAGGATCACCCTGCCAATGTGTCTGTCGTTTCCTTTTCTCCTCAGCGTGTCAACAGAGGTGCCCACGCAAGTATGTTTTCTGCTCTTTCGTTTCACTTTACGACGTCCTCTGTATAGTGCCTGTCTGTGCTGTCATTCTGCAAATGTGCTGTTCTATTGAAGTTCTCATCCTCTGAACACAGATACCTTTTGAAAGGGAAAAATTCTCAAAACATACTTTATATAATTTCAACAGTTGAAGCCGCATTGCTCAAGAAACCATGCAGTTCAACAATTTTCCATTGGTGATATATCACCACCCTGTCCGTTGTCAGTCAATGTGGTTTCTCGAAAGTTCGATGGTATAAGGCATAGGCCTATGCCTCGGCACCCAAGGATCCGCAGTGTTGGTCTTGAGCGACGGGTGAATCACAAGGTCGGTTTCGACGACTGTATGCAAAATATGGATGATGATGCACTCCAAGCAGTAAAATATTCAGTTGCACCTGCCGCATAAGTCAGCCTAGTGATCTCTGTACGTGAAACGTACACATCTATCATCCTGAATTACATCTTTTGGAGAAAATATGTTGCCATTAGAACGGCCGTCTAAGTCTTTCTCCTTCGACAGTCTTTAGGCTCGAATGGTGCTGTCATAGCTCTTGGTATGTGCCTAGGAATGTTTACGACTGGGTCGTTTTGAAGTATATTCCTTGAGGAATTTACTTGATGGGACCCCGCGGAAACTCAGAACACTTGATGGGACCCAACAGGTTTCATTTTACCCGATGGGACCCCATCGAAGGCACTGCAACCCCACCGTCAGTGATGTTCCAATACTATCTGGGGATAGTTCGAGTAGAACATGAAGTCACGGCAAGACCATATGCGGTGTAATTCAGACTCATGGTGTTAGTCGTTTTCTTAGACACGGTTGCGAAGGAGTTGCCAGAATACTCTGGCCCGACAGTGGCGGACAGTCCCCAGTCTATAGAGCAAATAAGTAGGTTATAAGAACATGGCTTACGGTTGCCGGCGAATGGGGTCCCATCGGGTTAAATAAAACCTGTTGGGTCGCATCAAGACGATTGAGTTTCCGGGGGTCCCGTCACGTAATTTCCTCTATTTTCCTCCGAATTGCCGTTGATGATTCATTCTGATCTATTTGATAAGAGACTTCATGGAGGAGTTGTAAGCTAGTCATTGTAACCCGACTGTACTTGAATGCTTGTCGTATTCGTCGTTCATGTACTTTTCTAACCTTCCTGATGTTTTTTCCAAGGTAATTTGGTCATATTTTTGGTTTCCTCATTTCTGTTCCAGGAGAATTAGGTCGATCTGACAGAGGCTAAGGTTTATTCTGATGGCGTCTATTATCAGATTTATTTCACAACTCTTGTCTGCTTTGCCTCACAAAATGAGATAAGTCGTGCTCACGCTGTTGCACGACTTACCTTTGAGTGTTCGATTGAACTTTCTGCTAGTGAGGCTTTTTTGCCAGAAGCCTCACAAGTCAGGTAAAAGTACTGACAATACCAACTGGATGTGGAATATCATAATGCTCTATTCAACTGGTTTGCTTGCTGCCCGTATTTTAAACAACGTGGTGTGTAGTTTACATGTGTGCTAAGTTTTTGATCCAACAGGAGGTGTTCTTATCCTCAACGCATATCAAACAACGCCCTCTCTTAAGTGTACTACATTGGAGCGTATGGGCGTTTACGACCTATTGAGCTCTCTCACTCCTCCGGGCACTGCCGATTGTGAATAAATATTTTTCATCATTCTCTTTCTGTCATTTAGCCAAGCCTTTTTCCCTTTAAGCCTCAGATTCTCTGTAGTTTTACATAGAAACTGTAGCTGGCTCAGTTACAACCCTCATCTTGGTACTCTGATGAATGCAGTGAAAGTGAAGGTTTTCGGGGTAGCCTTGAACCTTATTAAACCTTCAATCTACTATACTGCAACTCATGCTAATCAGCCAAGTTATGGTGTTGTGTATAAGTATGCTCTAGGAGGACTTTTGTGACTGTATCTGTACTAGTTTGTTACAAACTTTAGTGAAGCTGATGAAATAACCACGAAGGTTTTATGAGTTTTTGGTCGTACCTGCATTACGGATTTACGAGGCGAATAACCTAGCATATATGGACATAAGTGGTTTATGTCCATATATGCTAAGTTATTCGCCTCTCTTTATTACGCAACATTTTTTGGGGCTGTCACGATTTGAGCTTGGCACGTCTGCGCTGTGTTCACTTGGAATTCCCTCCATCTGAGTCAGCTATATTAATCGTGTGGGCCTTATACCTTATCAGGTCATTGTCGCTTCATTTTCCATCTTTGGATGTAAGACCGAGTTTTAAAGTCGTGGGCTTATATATGGCAGTTTGAAAATATCTCAATTCGTTGTGCTTAATTGTCTCAAATTGGAACGTATTTTTTTCACCCAGTCAGTTAAACTGCGTAAGATTGAAATGTCTAGAATAACTGTTCCTCATATTTCCGTACTACTTGCAGATCAGTTCACTTTTCACTTCCTTTTTCTCTTATAAATCTGCATGATTTGTTTGGAGTTCTTGTGATAGAAAACATTGAAGTGTTGCCAACTATAACATGAGAGTTCAGACCGAAATGTGAAGTGGAGTCGTTGCTTTGTCATTCAATGAGCATTGTCTCAAATGATAAGTGAATAGAAAGAATTTGATGGACACATGTCAAACGATAGATATGCATGAAGTGCATGACATAAATCTCTTTCAACGCAGAGTCCATCTCTGAAGCTCATTAATACATGATCGGATCGGTGTAACATATACTTGCATTTATTTTTTTGTTCAGCATTAAATGAAAATACCATTGAATCAGAACTTTTGTTGCTGTGAAGGTTGAAGATAATGAATCACATAACGGTGCGTATGAGAGCAAAAATAAAGGACAGGTTTTAGCAAATAAGTTTACGCCAGTCGTAGAAAGCCGAACTTACTAAGAAGTGTCTATTGTTTCTCCACGAACATAAGTGTATGTGAAGACTGGTGATGGTGACTGTTTAGGTCAATTTGGGCAACAGGAGTATCCTATACAAGGGTGACAGTATTTTTCATTGCATGATGTGCAGTTCACTTGATGTTGAGGTTCTAAATGTTGTGATCTCTTTTTTGCAGAAGCAGAGGTTGGTTTCAAGAAGGAAAGTGACGTTTATGGTAGTTGTGCCGTGGGTTCTGTCACTATAAAGGAGCTTCAGAAGCGGATGGCGGATTTTGCTAGAGAACGAGATTGGGACCAGTTTCATTCTCCTCGAAATCTCCTACTTGCCCTTGTGAGTTTTTTCCTTGATTCCAAAACTGCCCACTAACTATACATAACTCGTGGCGACTATTTCCAGTAGCATGGTGTCGTGCTTCTTTGGTCCGAAAAGCGGAACCTGGGATTAAAGGCACTGAGTTTATTGGATGCATCCTTTGTTTGTTGCTTATCACTATAGGATTTTCATAATTTTGATATATTGACAATGTGGGAAGAATTGAAGGTTGGAGGTAAGCACTTTTAGAAACTTCAGTTTTGCGCGATGCTGTCTGTCTCAATGTTTTTCGGCTGAATTTTTTTTCTTTATTACTCTAGGTTGGCGAAGTCGGCGAGTTGTCAGAGATTTTCCAATGGAAAGGTGAGGTTCCAAGAGGTTTACCAGGCTGGAACGTGTCTGAGAAAGAGCATCTTGGCGAGGAACTTTCGGACGTTCTGCTCTACCTGGTTCGTCTTGCTGATATTTGTGAGGTCGATCTGGGTCAAGCAGCGCTTAGGAAGATAAAAAAGAACGCTAAGAAGTACCCTGTTGAGTTGTGTAAGGGTACTGCTAGAAAATATACCCCCTGTGAAAATCCAAATGGCGATGATGTAGCTCTAGATAAGATTTAATCATCCATTCACCCTGTAACATACCTTCTTAATGAAATTCTTGTTGGCCACGTCAGGGAAGAAATGGGAATGGGGGTAATAACTTGATGGCTGAAAAGGTAGGTCAGGTATGGGACACAAAGCGAAGGCAAGCAGTTTTGTATTATCAAGCAATAAGAACTTGCCCAGATTAAGACGTGAGGATGTTTCTTGCGAATTACAATGTAGCTTCTGAAGACCCGTGAAGACCTACTCCTTACTACGACTAGTTTTGTGTAGTCTGATGTCTATGAGTGACCTAAATCCTCCTTCATTAACCCTGCGGTCCACATCTAATGTTTGGGGCATCTTCTTACAAGCCTTTCCACTGGAGTTCAACTTGTGACTTACGTATGGAAAGTCTACGTTGTAATACACCTGTTCTGTAAATAGTCATGACCACACAGAAGAAATTAAGTGGATCTATGAAATCGACTCTCTTTTTTGTTAGCTTCTTATGGCTGCCTCAACTTAACGATGAGCTTTCTTTATCGGTTTTTTGTAATATTTTTATGTTGATTTTGTCTTGCCTGTTCATCTTGTTAAATATCTGTGTAGGAATATGTTCAGCATGTGGCCCTTAGGTATTGAACCTGAGTTTTGTGTCGTGTACAGTTTAAAGTAACTGATGTCTTACATGATTGCCTAGCTTTACGATCAGGATAACTACTTCGTTTAGGAATGGTGCGAGGGATTGGTGTATTGTGTTGGCTGTGAACCAGAACAGTATGTCAAATCTATCATATTCCTTTGGTCTAGATTCAGACCGGAAGCTGTCCTGTTTCTGCATAGTCTTGTTTTGGGTGTTTGTTCGCCCTCTTTATTTCTTCTAGCAGATCTGAGCATGATCAATATTTTTTTTCACTGGTCTCACCTGATGATGTTGCGGAGCTCATCTGCAAACCTTGAAGTATTGCTGGCAAATGGTGTCTATTAAGTTCTTTACTTCATCTGATATATCATCACTCATATTACGTATTATACATGCGCTACAACAGTAACTAGCTCAATATTCAATCCCGTATGTGGATCTTCCGCTTCCTCTGTACCGAACCGGGATACGTGGAGTAGACATGGGATGGGGTCTAGGGTTGACTTGGCAACTTCAGAGCTTTCAATGAAGTAGTGAAGTGGGGTCCTGAATTTGATTCAACACCATGATGAGGGCAGATTAACATTTCGTTTTTGCAACATGGTATCCTGGGTGTTTTCAACCCGTGTCCTAACTTTTTTAGAGCTCTCTTCATTTTATGGTCTGCGATGATTTCTATGATCATGTTGTTGGTGCTCACAAAATCAGGATGTGTTCACCACATCTCTGTTGTTGCCATTCTCAACTTTTCGTCGATTTGGAAGTTTAAAATTTTTCCTGTTTTTGTTTTTTAAATCCTAGCAAATTAGAAATGATGAAGATATACGAATTAGGGTTCGCACGTGAAGGTCAAGTATTTTCGTGTCCGCACTCCAAATATCTGATGACGGATTTCGAAAATATATAGCCGTTTGGTCTCTTTCAGCTTTTGTTTATACGCTTGGTACTTCTGCACCTATACTAAGTTCATAGGGTAGGTGTGCTTTTATGTAAAAGGGTACATATACATAAAATCACATCTGTTTGTAAAAGTTACTCATTTTCTTTGGACGTAAAATGTCTGTTTGTTTTACCATAGTATCAATTTGTCTTGAAAGTGTAACGTGTGATTAGCTTTTATCATACAGAAACGATCTTGAGAAATTTAAGAGCCACCTCAGTCAAGCATCAAGAAGCGGAGGTTCGCATCTTAGGTCCTTTCCGTTTGAGCATTGGAGTTTGCATCTCTAAATTGGGTCGTCCATCGTATGCTGTTCAAGTCACCACCATGTCAGCAGCTTCAACAGGAGCACAATTTTCGAGTATTTTCTGCTTAAGTGCCGTTTGTAATAGTAGAAACCCTTGCCAGGCTGGCGGAAGTTCCAGCGATTCAATAGTTCCAGAAGGCTACAAGGAATGTTAGCTGGAATTTACTTTGTCAGCTTTTGCTCCGCCATTTTAAGAAGTGTTTTCCTCGAAAACCATATGGCATAAATGTCAAGAAGTACTAGACCAATTGGTATACAGAACACGGATTGGGGTATCCACCATTTTGGAGCCCACTGCGTTTGCTGTGCCATGACAAACGACAAGCAGGCGTGTTGCATGACTGAAGTCAAGAACACCGAATAGCCGCCATAGGTTGGTCGCTGACGGTGAAGATTCCTGATGGAGGACTACTTTCAAGAGAACGACTGCAGGAACCACATCATTTACTCGCAATTTAACTTTGAACGGAGAATACTTCGTAACTTCACAGCGAGAAGTGAAATACAGGATCGTTTTCCGCAGGGCCAACAACCATCCTAGATCTTAGGTTGAAGGAGGAAAGCAAGTCTCGAAACCACGTAAGCAATAGGTTCGATCTGAAGGCCTAAAGTGACCAATACCACAACCTTAGGGCGGAGAAGTGACGGAATACTTAGGAAGGAAAAAGCTGTTGAAAAATGCGGTTTTTATGGGCAAGGTGCAGACGTAGCACAGTGTAGCAACCTACAAGAGTGATGACATAGGTCTCTATGGCACAGTGTAGCAACCTACAAGAGTGATATACATCCTACATAGGTCTCTATGGGAGTGGTGACATACCTGCCGTTGTCACGTGGGAATGTCAATAGTTGGCCTTGTCCCCCGCTACAAGTTTGTGTCCTAAATTTACGGAATATTAGTAACAATCAGTTAATAGTAAAAAGAGAGAGAGAGAGAGAGACAAACGTGACAATCATGTGACAGTTTGTCTCTAAGATTCAACATTGAGATGTTATGAGATTACTTTTACTCACCACGGGTCAAAACACAGTTAATTTCTAACACGGGTCAAGTTGTGTATGGATTTCTATGCCAAATCAGAAAAAACAAGTTTTTCAAAGTGAAAATATCTAAGAGTAGGACATTGTATACTTTGACTATACATCTTCACCTCCAGTTTACTTATGGATGTATGATGTCGATAGACGTTCTATATATCAATTTAGACAACTACATGGAGAGGTTTCTAAGATTATGTTACATTGGCATAAATCTTGGTAAAGATATCTTGCAACCCACTCAGTTTTTCGTACAGAGAGATATGGAAGTATTGTTTGGTATTATTTCATTCATGACTTTTTTGTTTTTCGAAAAATTTCTTTGAATGAATAAACCTTCGCTTGGATTCATGCCGCAATCCGCTAACTTTATATGGATTTCTTCGATGATATTTATCGGGATAAAAGTATTTTAGTGTGATAGTACAAAGATATATGTTTATTGTTGATAAATGAGACTGTATCGATAACATGTCATCGGTTTGTGAGGTATTCGTAGGATGTGGACTTAATTTATTCAGAAATATTATCACGATAGACACGAGAGTTGTTCTGATTAAAATGCAACATGTGTTACTGTTCTTTTCCTCTTTGTCAAAAGAGTAGAAGAAAGACCTAGAGTCTTTTTATGTCTGGCCAATTTCAGTAGCTTACACTCCTTGTCAGTGGATCTCACTGCAATTGATATTACGAGGTTGGAGGTTTGTGTAACTTGTCTCAACAAATCAATGCTTGTTTTGAATCATTCATGCTATTTTTGCGAATGCTCTGATTACGTTTAATAAACATGAATATATTTCGCAGGTAGAGAAAAATTGGAGCGAAAATGAACAAACTTCTCCAATATATGGATATACACATATATAAACTGTTTGTAACTTGTAATTTAGAGATAATGACATCTATGTCAACACAACCCATTTGCGAGAGTGTTCCAAGAGAGCCCAATATCATGGGCCACATAGAGTATCACAATCTTTACCATACTATGTAGACTATCTTAGCCATGTGTAACCATTCTTATAAAGATAGCAGTTACTTGTGTAATCCAAGACCACCATGTTAGGATTACGTGGGTATGCTACTTACTCGCTAGCACACAATGAAATAACCGCGTAACTTGCGAGTAGATGATCATAGATTATACCTTCGCTCGCGCGTCGCAGCGGAAGTCTTGATGAAGCGCGATTACTCGATCCGATCGACGTCGAGGAGGTAGTCGTACGATCTGATAAAGTACGAAACCGAGCGACACCTCTACGGCAGTCCACACGTACGGGATGGAACGATGAACCGGATCGTGCTAGCACTCCACGGCCATTTCTCATATATCACTGCGATCAACCTTTGATCCGAGAGGGAGGATTGCCACTGTGGAATTTAGCAGATATATTTTATAAAATTAGAAATAGGGTTGCAATTTGTTCCTGACTTCAAGGTATATCAAAAGAGTTTTAATGGTGGCTAAGATTGAGAGCGTAAAGCCATTTCCGACCTCTCGGCGCACCAGAGGTTGCATGTGGGCTGTAGCCCCCACGCAGCAGGCAACAGCAGCGTTGCGGCACCAGGCTGGTGCCGCAGTAAGTAGGTGTGCGTCGGCTAGCCAAAAGAATCAGATCCATTAGGGTTAAATCTAATTAGTATTTACAGACTTGCTAATTGGGCAAGCGCCTCTTGGGCATTACCAACAGTCTTCCACTTGCACAAGAGTTAATTATGCAAGTATCCATGTGTTCCAATCCCTTAAGTGTGTGACTCCGTAGGTTCATGCAAACTACGGACATGACTCGAAAACCATTTCTGATCAATAATTAGCATTGGCCTCTAGCAAGGCGTACTGACTTCCGAAGGTTCATGAAGATCATATCTTGCATAACCTGTAACATTTGCCAATATTATATCCTTCTGCCACACAACATCTAGCCAAGCATAAGGCAAATGAAGTGCTTCCCTTATTCTTAGACATTTCTTGCTCAGTGACAAAATTTTGGGATCGACTAACCTTTAGTCGAGGCATGGCCATGCGCTTTCAGTTCATCACATCAAGAGGGTCCAGAGGAGTGTCTCCTTGGAACGGGAGGAGCATATTACTTCTTGACTCGGTACACCTTGCGACTTGCTTGAACTACATCCAAAAATTGCTTTTATAACTACCCTTTTACGGAACCCTTTGTGATGCTCCACAATCCGGGACTCTGCATCGATCTTAGGTCATGGGATATACTATGCGTGTCGTTACAAGACTTACCGATAACAATGTATTCGCGATGTCTCGTTGTGGGTCTGTCCGGCACCGTGTTCCTAACACGTGGCTACATTGTTAGCGCAATATCCCATATTGCCATGACCTGTGAAACAAGATCATCTACCCAACACATGTACCAGCTTATCTCTACGTCACGGTCCCACATGACGGATGGTAGCTACGGACCATTTTTAGTACAATGTTAATATTGTATCATGAAGTTTCACTAACAAATCACGTATTCGCTAATCACATATAATGACAAAAATCATGCAACATATCATTGAAAAATACAAACGTTGACATGATGTCATCATCTTATGACTACCTTTATGGAATACATCATCATAAGCCTCCCACTAATGCTGGTCAGTTATGCCAGAATCTCATGCCCATTGACTTCGTATGCATCTC